TGTGAGCTTTTCATGACCACATACCGGCATAGGAATGCCGAGATCCCGGGACAGCTCCAGAATTTTCCCCAGGATGAGAGGTTCCAGCAGGTCAGGCTCCGTCTCCGGGTATGCGGCCATAGCCAGCTCCAGCACCGCGCCCCTAAATGCCACCGGCGACTCCTCGGGTGCTCGTTGTCGCTGAACAAACCGGCGATGAGCATCATCCGGTGGCTCGTAAGCGGCTGCCATTTCGTCGAACACACCTCTCAATGTCTTCTTCTTCGCGGCCTTTATAGAGCGAAAAAATCTAACAGACGCGTCATCGAGAAGAGTCGGCAGAACTTCTAATGCCTCCGCGTCAGTCCACTTCGCTGAGCGCACCGCCGCCAAAAATCTGCAGGCGAACGCACTCCAATCGCCCCCGATGGAGAATTCTTTAACAGTTGTTAGGTGACGACTGCGACTTCTTGGCGCGCTCTCCGCGGCCGACGACTCCTCTGGTGGCATATTCAACATGGCGTCGCAACGTGGTGTCGACAAAATGGCGGCTTCCCGCCTTTCCTTGGCCACCACGCCCAAGATGGCGTCTTCGTGCCGTGTGGCCGATGGCGCCGACAGTGAAGGCGAAGCGGGCTCCTGCGGATCTCCGACGTTTCCTTCCGACAGCCGTCCTCGGCGTGACGAGCTGGCACAACTGCGCAAGCACGTTCTTGAGTGTTTCCAGTTGCTCCGCCATCTGACTCCATCTTAAATCCGCGTCCTTCGGTGCAGACGGGTCCACCGACGCGGCGACATCTTGGACCCCCGGACCCGCACTCGTCCCAGCACGGATCTCCTCGTCCATCGGAGTCCAGTCCCCCGTTGGAGGAAAGTCATCGTCGTCGGAGGATGGAGCAGATGCTGGAGACGGAATATTATTTTTTCTCAGTTGTTTCGCCATGCCGTTACACTTCTGACACCAGTGTAATAAAGAACTCGGACGCTCTCTCTGTCTCCGTGTCCTTTATTTGGGTTCTTATGCTTTTCCCTCACAGCACTCCCCTAGATACTCTTCGTGGGCAGCCCCAGGCTGCTGTCGCTCACGTAGCCCACTTTCTCTCCTAGCAGCCCCGCTGCTGAACTCCTCGTGCAGACCCCCGCTGCTGAACTCCTCTGCAGACCCCCGCTGCTGAACTCCTGATATGCAGACCCGCTGCTCTCTGCAGCCTCCTCGCTGCTCCGGCTACCCCGAGGTCGGTCACCGTTGGCCGACGGAGCCGAACCTCGTGGTTCGTGTGTGTGGCGAGCTCGCCACTCTCTCTCTCACCCTCCGCCCTGCGTGGCCTCACTCTTTCCCAGTCTCCGATCACTCCCCTCCTCTTCCGGTTTCTCCCCTTATAGACCCGAACCCCCTCCCCCACGTGACGTAACTCCACCCTCCCATGACGTCACTTCTGGGAGGTCGTTTACGCCCGCATTACATACGTTTGGTGTTGGCTGTAATTTTCTCACGTGGCCTCTGCATCCACGAGAGGCTGTGGAGGCCGACGTTCGCCCCACCGCCCTCGCCGTGCAGGTGGGGCGCAACGTTTGCCCCCTCCACTCCCTCCTCCTCCACTCCCCCCTCCACTCCACTCCCCCCTCCACTCCCCCCTCCACTCCCTCCTCCTCCACTCCCTCCTCCTCCACTCCTTCCTTCCTCCTCCACTCCCTCCTCCTCCACTCCCTCCTCCTCCACTCCCCCCTCCACTCCACTCCCCCCTCCACTCCCCCCTCCACTCTCTCCTCCTCCACTCCCTCCTCCTCCACTCCCTGCTCCTCCACTCCCCCCTCCACTCCCTCCTCCTCCACTCCCTCCTCCACTCCCCCCTCCACTCCCTCCTCCACTCCCCCCTCCAATCCCTCCTCCACTCCCCCCTCCTCCACTCCCCCCTCCACTCCCCCCTCCACTCCCTCCTCCTCCACTCCCTCCTCCTCCACTCCCTCCTCCTCCACTCCCTCCTCCTCCACTCCCCCTCCACTCCCCCCTCCACTCCCTCCTCCTCCACTCCCCCCTCCACTCCCCCCTCCACTCCCTCCTCCACTCCCTCCTCCACCGCGCCGTTCGGCACCCGCCGGGCCCCCGCCGACCGGGTGATCAGCCCCCCCCCCCCCCCCGCGTTAGCGCCCCCTCTGAGGGACATCGCCGAATGGCTGGCTCACTGCCGCACGGGGTTACTCCACACACGCCCGCGCACAGCACCCCTGATGCTCACGCGGCGGCACGCGCGCGCTCCCGCTGGTGATTATCCTCCACCATGCGCACGCCCCACTACAGCGGCGGCGTGAATACGCGCGCGCGCCTGAGGCCGGTTATTTCCTAATCCGTTCACGCACAAGGACTGGCGCTAAAGGGGCTGCACGAACATGGGCGCCGGCGGGTGTTCATCCGCTACCCCGCACCCGCGTTAAGACGCGCTCTAAAGCTGCGGCGCGAACGCGCCTGCAGGCGATTAATTGAACACGCGCGTCAACACGCGCGCGAGTGTCGGTGGTCGTTTATGTTTTTAATACACGCGCGTCTCATACACACACTCACTCAAATTAGCAACACCACTCCGAGGTTCCACCCACACACACAGAAATCACACTGCACCGATACTCTGCACTAAAGTTTATTAACGGCGCAAATACACACTACCTGGGGGGGGGGGGTATTTTGCGAGAAGAGCTTGGCCTGACTCTGCCTACGAACTCAGTCACTCAAACGTCCTACTACGCACCTCGAAGCTGTACTCACGCCGTCGCATGGACGCTGTGAGAGTCAGGGGGAGAAAGAAGGACGAGAAAAAACTTAACCTATCACTGCCTCGGTGCAGCACTCGCTGGCATCACACGGATGCTGCGAGCGGCTCGAGGAGGCAGGACGGCAGGGAGTGGGTCTTGGCGGCGCGGAGGTTGAAGACAAGAGACCTAAAATCGTCCTGGGCCACTCTATTCTCTAAACGTCAAAGGCCCAGGGTGACGTCGTACCACGCGGCCAATCGTGCGCTTCCCAGCGCCGTCTCGAGGAGGCAGGCCGGCTCGAGGAGGCAGGACGGCAGGGAGTGGGTCTTGGCGGCGCGGAGGTTGAAGACAAGAGACCTAAAATCGTCCTGGGCCACTCTATTCTCTAAACGTCAAAGGCCCAGGGTGACGTCGTACCACGCGGCCAATCGTGCGCTTCCCAGCGCCGTCGTCCCTCTCGACCATCCCGAACGTGGCCTCATCCAGTCCTAGTCCGCGGCGGCGGCCACCCATTGTCCCTCATTGCCCATTGTCTGGAAGGGCGCTGCGCTTTTCTTGCCGAATATTCCGCCCTCCGTCTTTCCCCCAATGCTGAGAGTAGCTCATTGCGGTTGGCCCAGGGAACCTTTTATTTCTGCGCCCGTACAAGTTGAAGCCAATTTTAGGGGCACCGCAATGTGACCTGTCCTGCGAGGGTCGGCCAATCTCCTGGCACCGGGAAACCGCGGGACTTGCCCCCTAGGGGCCCTTCGGATTAAAACCCGATGTGCCAGGCAACCCCCCGCCAGGGCACTGCGTGTGTGTGCTGCGTGTGTGTGTGCTGCGTATGTGTGCTGCGTGTGCTCAGGGTGGGGGTAGTGGACAATCACGGCACTTACGGGGTTGCTCCGCGGTCGTGGCACGACAAGGCCTCTACAATTGCCAACCTTACAAAGACAATCGATGTTTGTACTGGGTCGCTTTGACGCAAATAATTGATCAAAAGAGACAAAACCACCAACACACACATAAAGCACATAGCGGGACTAATAATAAGAAGACTAATGATAAGAGTGCGTCAACTATTAGCTGATAATGAAGAACATTGCTGCTGCCCATTGAGTTACGTGGATACGATCGTTTAGAAGTATTTTAGTCGTTCTTTTTGTTAATTGCATAACTTGCCAATTAATTCATTGATGAAACTAAACGTTTAGAAACCTACGTTACGAATCCACACATTCACAGGAAGACTATTGTGTTGAAATCTTTCTTTTGATCACAGAATCTTTCCCGGGAATTTATTGAAGCCTTAGCCAAGTGATAAGCATTTGCTGAAGCAGGCACACTGCCGCACACCATTATTCCAAGACATTTCGTTAATTACATAATCTTACCAATGAATTCATTGAGGTCTACTTTGCCTTCGGGACATGATTCTTAATGCCGTCCGTATGAATATCGTCACATTCATTTTTAAGGACTTTTTCTTATCGCCGTATATGCTCGCGTGACTCTGAAGAATGTTTCGATTGTTCTGTTACCCAGTTTAACAACGTAATCATTGAGGGTTAAATGTACGGATCAATGAGGAGAACATCTTTAGGAGTACTGTGTTGACAATTCAAAGCATAAGAGTTCGAATATTAGAATGCTATGTTTTTTCTTATTAGAGATTAAAGTTGCTTAACACAGAAGTGTCTGAGTGGTGCCTTCCTAAGTTCATGCATAATACTCTTAATTATGAGAACTGTATCCTGCGGTGAGATTTGAATTTGGAGACCTGACATAAAAACACGAAGACATAATCAGTAAATGTTAAAGCGAGAATAATTGTATTATCCCGATTGATAATACAACCCTAGACAACGAAGACGAGCTTAATCCAGCATAATTACATCACACTTGCATAACTTCATACAATTCATTATATTATCCTGATTGATAATACAATCCTAGACAACAAGGCTGAGCCTAATTATCATAACAACGTACATTATCATAATCGCATACATTCGCATAACTTAATACAATTACACATTCCTAATCAACATACATTATGCGCATCATTACAGAATTAGCATAATATCGGATACTTATAAATTTTCCCATTTTCATTTTTTAAAATAATTTTTATACTTTTTCAAGACCCGACATATACAACAGTGTTTTGTGTGTGTAGGGGGGGGGGGGTCAAACACAAATCGCTGGGGATTAGCGCTCCTGGGTCATCGTGAGAGAAAGGACATCATTGCCCCACACCCCTCTCCCCTGCCAGGTTCAACAATAAACCGCGATAACCTCGGCCCCTGAGGGGCGAGCGAGCCCGCACGGAGCGAACCGCACTCGGCGCGGCCACGGTGTATGCACTCTGGTGGACGCGGAAGAGGGAGCTGCTCAGAGCGAGGCGTGCCGACTGCGACCTGCGCAAGGCGTCACCGCGACCGCCCTTCCCAGCACCTTCACGCCGAGCAGCCCACAACTCTCCGGCACGCTTCCTCCGTCGTCAGCAACAGCCGCCAAACTCCCTCCTCCCCACCGAGGGAACCGCCGCTCCATCGCCACATCTGACAACGCAGACCCCCCCCCCCCCCAACACGGACCCGGACCATGGCAACGCTCGGCGACGTGCCCGTCTTGCTCCTGCTCCTGCTGCGGGTGCTGCTCGAGTGCTGCTGGGCGCTCCTCCTGTGGCCCCTGCGCCTGCTGCAGCTGCTGCCCCGCCAGACGCGCTCGGTGCGCGGCGACCTGTGCGTGGTGACGGGCGCCGCGCAAGGCATGGGGCGCCTCACGGCCCTCGGACTCGCCCGCCTGGGCGCGCACGTGGCCGTGTGGGACATCAACGGGGTGAGAGGCGCGCGGCGCGACCTGGGTTGTTGGCCGGCTGCGCGGGTGAACGTGAATTCGTTTCGAGGCTTAAAGTGGCCGGAGTGATTTTACCGTTTACAGCCCCGAGCCAACGGTGGCAATTTCACACTCCTGGAGCGGTGGCTGAGTCTTTCCACAGGGTTAAACACTGTTGAAATCGCCACAAAGTGGTTACATATTGTATCTACCCGGGAGGGTTGATGCACTTTTTGTGTTTCCCCGTAGGAAGGGGCGGAGGACACGGCGGCCCAGGCGCGGGAGCTCGGGGTGCAGGCGCGCGCCTACAAAGTGGACTGCAGCCGCAGGGAAGACATCCAGCGTGCAGCGGAGCAGGTGACCTCCTGCAGGCCCCACCACCATCTCCCCTTGCAGGTCCCACCACCACCTCCTGCAAGCCCCACCACCACCTCCTGCAGGCCCCACCACCATCTCCCCTTGCAGGTCCCACCACCACCTCCTGCAGGCCCCACCACCATCTCCCCTTGCAGGTCCCACCACCACCTCCTGCAAGCCCCACCACCACCTCCTGCAGGTCCCACCATCATCTCCCCTTGCAGGTCCCACCACCACCTCCTGCAGGTCCCACCACCACCTCCTGCAAGCCCCACCTCCTGCAGGTCCCACCACCACCTCCTGCAGGCCCCACCACCATCTCCCCTTGCAAGCCCCACCACCACCTCCTGCAAGTCCCACCACCACCTCCTGCAGGCCCCACCACCATCTCCCCTTGCAAGCCCCACCACCACCTCCTGCAAGTCCCACCACCATCTCCCCTTGCAGGCCCCACCACCACCTCCTGCAGGTCCAACCACCATCTCCCCTTGCAGGTCCCACCACCACCTCCTGCAAGTCCCACCACCATCTCCTGCAGGTCCCACCACCACCTCCTGCAGGCCCCACCACCACCTCCCCTTGCAGGTCCCACCACCACCTCCTGCAAGCCCCACCACCACCTCCTGCAGGCCCCACCACTATCTCCCCTTGCAGACCCCACCACCACCTCCTGCAGGTCCAACCACCATCTCCCCTTGCAGGTCCCACCACCACCTCCTGCAGGCCCCACCACCACCTCCTTCAGGCCCCACCACCATCTCCCCTTGCAAGCCCCACCACCACCTCCTGCAAGTCCCACCACCATCTCCCCTTGCAGGTCCCACCACCACCTCCTGCAGGTCCCACCACCACCTCCTGCAAGTCCCACTACCATCTCCCCTTGCAGGTCCCACCACCACCTCCTGCAAGTCCCACCACCATCTCCTGCAGGTCCCACCACCACCTCCTGCAGGTCCCACCACCACCTCCTCCAGGCCCCACCACCACCTCCTGCAAGTCCCACCACCATCTCCCCTTGCAGGTCCCACCACCATCTCCTGCAGGTCCCACCACCACCTCCTGCAGGTCCCACCACCACCTCCTGCAGGTCCCACCACCACCTCCTGCAAGTCCCACCACCACCTGCTCCTACGGGTCTCGCTTTAGGTGCAGGGCATTGCAACTGACACTCATCCTGATCCTCACCTGGGTAACAAATAAACGTCACTCGACTCTCATTCCCTCCCGAACTCCATCCCGCCACCTTCCTCTCTCCCCCCTCCCGCCCCACGGCGCCCCCACGCAGGTGAAGAAGGACATGGGGGAGGTGTGCATCTTGGTGAACAATGCCGGGGTCGTGTTCGTGGACGACCTCCTCAGCCTCGAGGACCACGAGATCCAGAAGACGTTTGACATCAACATCCTGGCTCACTTCTGGGTGAGTAGTACTCGTTTTAGCCACCCTGGACGAATGATGGGCACGGTTGGCTACGTACGGTGCGAAATAAATTAATAATAATAATCGACCGATGCCCACCAAGGATTTGACCCTGCAGCCTTCTGTGTGGGTAGAGAAGTAAGTGAGTGGGTGGGTGAATGTGGGTGGGTGTGAGTGGGCGAGCGAGTGAGAGATTCAGTGAGGTGAGTGAGTGAGCGAGTGAGTGAATACCTGACGCGAGGTGCATAACCCACACACACAGATCCCCCGTGTAGCCCTTCAACAGTCCGGTAGGGAAAGTGCTGTGTAGCAAGCACCTGCAGGGTCGAAGTTCATTGGACCGACCGAGCGAGGACGTTGATGTGATGATTGTGGCTCTCACTGCCCCCCGCCCCCCCGCCCCCCCACCCCGCCCTCCGATCAGACTGTGCGCGCCTTCCTGCCCAGCATGCTGGAACGAAACAACGGCCACATCGTCACCGTGGCCTCGATGAGCGGCAAAATTGGCACGCCCTTCTTGGTCAACTACAGGTGAGCTTGATGACCGCCTGTGCCCTCGGTGAACAACAGGGGAGGTAGGTTCTGAGGTGTCCACTTGGTTGACTGCGGAGTGAAGCGAGATGATCATCTGGTCGGATGAAGTCACGGGACGCCTCCTACGTGGGGCCCTAAGATTGGTGTGGACCCCCCCCCCCCATCGTCCCATCCCCCGCATCTCCCACAGCCCCCCCCCCCTCCCTGATCCCCCCTCACATTGAGAAGGGGGGGTGCTGACACAAAGCCGGCTCTGTGAGATCCGCACACAAAACCCCGTCGCTCTCTCCCCCGTCCCTCTCTGCCTCACTGTGATGATGCGAGGGGGGAGGGAGGGGGGGGGGTAATTGTGACAATAAGGAGATGAGACCTCCATTCTCCCGTCCCTGTGATTAAAATCAAATGAACATGAGATCTCATCTCTCCGTGGGCTCGTGAGGCACGCCACGAGCTCCGCGTGGTGTGCGCGCAGACTCGTGCGTGCGCGTGGCCCGGGACGTCTCTACGAATATCGTGGGAAGTGGTGGTGCATTGAATCAGTCAGAATATTTATTTTGGAGAAATCCGATGAGCTATGAAGATTTTTTTAACAAATGTCCAGTCGGGGCGGGTAAGAATGTTACAACAACAAACATTACAAAAACACGATAGGAGCGAAAACTACAAGGAAGGTAAATAAATCACGAAAACACGAACAAATACAACTAAACTATCATGCAAAACCCACTGAGATATGAACTTGTTTTTCACAAGCGACCACAAATGATAGCTCAACAAAGTGGCTTATCATTTGGACATTCATAGCAGCAAATTAATCGAAATAATCTCCATGCACGTTTCAAAATGTGAGCGCACTGCACTTCGAACCTGCCAACCCGAGATGAATTCCCACTCGGCCTTCAATGATCACCTGGTAACGGTGCATACATATTAGCACTGGCGAGACAAATGAGCCTGGCCATGTTACTAGCTATAGGAGGGGATCTTTGTCTGTATCTGTATGGCTAAGTCGCCGCGTGTGCGCCATTCTCAGCTCCTCGAAGTTCGCCGCCGTGGGTTTCTCCGAGGCTCTGCAAGCGGAGCTGCGCTTGCTCGGCCGGGACGGTGTCCGCACCACCTGCCTGTGCCCCTACTTCGTGAACACCGGCTTCGTGCAGAACCCCCAATCACGGTGAACACCCGCCACGGCCTCCTCCTCCACCCCACTCCTCCACCCCACTCCTCCACCCCACTCCTCCACCCCACTCCACTACCTCACTCCTCCACCCACTCCTCCACCCACTCCTCCACCCACTCCTCCACCCCACTCCTCCACCCCACTCCACCCCACCAGCCCCACCTCCACCCCCTCCTCCACCCACTCCTCCACCCCCCTCCTCCACCCCACTCCACCACCCCCACCTCCACCCCACTCCTCCACCCCACTCCTCCACCCCACTCCACCCCACCAGCCCCACCTCCACCCCCTCCTCCACCCACTCCTCCACCCCCTCCTCCACCCCACTCCACCACCCCCACCTCCACCCCACTCCTCCACCTCACTCCTCCACCCCACTCCTCCACCCCCCTCCTCCACCCACTCCTCCACCCCCCTCCTCCACCCCACTCCACCACCCCCACCTCCACCCCACTCCTCCACCCCACTCCTCCACCCCACTCCTCCACCCCACTCCTCCACCCACTCCTCCACCCCACTCCTCCACCCCACTCCTCCACCCACTCCTCCACCCCCCTCCTCCACCCCACTCCACCACCCCCACCTCCACCCCACTCCTCCACCCCACTCCTCCACCCACTCCTCCACCCACTCCTCCACCCACTCCTCCACCCCACTCCTCCACCCACTCCTCCACCCCCTCCTCCACCCACTCCTCCACCCCCTCCTCCACCCCACTCCACCACCCCCACCTCCACCCCACTCCCTCCACCCCACTCCTCCACCCACTCCTCCACCCACTCCCCACACTCCTCCACCCACTCCCCACACTCCTCCACCCACCCTCCACACTCCTCCACCCACTCCCCACACTCCTCCACCCCACTCCTCCACCCACTCCCCACCCCCTCCTCCACCCACTCCCCACACCCCTCCACCCCACTCCTCCACCCCACTCCTCCACCCCACTCCTCCACCCACCTCCACCCACTCCTCCCACCCACTCCTCCACCCCACTCCTCCACCCACTCCTCCACCCCTCCTCCACCCACTCCTCCACCCCCACTCCTCCTCCACCCCACTCCACCACCCACCTCCACCCGCACCCCACTCCTCCACCCACTCCTCCCCACTCCTCCACCCCACTGCCTCCACCCACTCCTCACCCCACTCCTCCACCCCTCCTCCACCCCCTCCTCCACCCACTCTCCTCCACCCACTCCCCACACTCCTCCACCCACTCCCCACACTCCTCCACCCACTCCCCACACTCCTCCACCCACTCCTCCAACCTCACTTCCTCCACCCACTCCTCCACCCCACTCCTCCCCCACTCCTCCAGCCACCCACTCCTCCACCCACTCCTCCACCCCACTCCTCCACCCCCTCCTCCACCCCACTCCTCCACCACTCCTCCACCCACTCCTCCCCCCACTCCTCCACCTCACTCCTCCACCCACTCCTCCACCCCCTCCTCCACCTCACTCCTCCACCACTCCTCCACCTCACTCCTCCACCCACTCCTCCACCCCCCTCCTCCACCCACTCTCTCCACCCCACTCCTCCACCCACTCCTCCACCCACTCCTCCACCCCACTCCGCCACCCACTCCTCCACCCACTCCTCCACCCCACTCCTCCACCCACTCCTCCACCCACTCCTCCCCCCCACCTCCACCCCACTCCTCCACCCCACCCCACTCCTCCACCCCACTCCTCCACCCCTCCTCCACCCCCCCTCCACCCCACCCCCACCTCCTCCACCCCCTCTCTCCACCCACTCCTCCACCCCACCCTCCACCCACTCCTCCACCCACTCCTCCACCCACTCCTCCACCCACCCTCCACCCCACTCCTCCACCCCACTCCACCCCCCCACCTCCACCCCACTCCTCCACCCACTCCTCCACCCCACTCCACTATTTCACTCCTCCACCCACTCCCCACACTCCTCCACCCACTCCTCCACCCACTCCTCCACCCCACTCCACCACCCCCACCTCCACCCCACCCCACTCCTCCACCCACTCCTCCACCCCACTCCTCCACCCCACTCCTCCACCCACTCCTCCACCCCTCCTCCAACCCACTCCACCACCCCCACCCCACCCCACTCCTCCACCCACTCCTCCACCCCACTCCTCCACCCACCCACTCCTCCACCCCACACCTCCACCCCCCTCCTCCACCCCACTCCTCCACCCACTCCTCCACCCACTCCTCCACCCCCTCCTCCACCCACTCCTCCACCCCACTCCTCCACCCCTCCTCCACCTCACTCCTCCACCCCCTCCCCAACCCCCTCCTCCACCTCACTCCTCCACCCACTCCTCCACCCCACTCCTCCACCCACCCACTCCTCCACCCACTCCTCCACCCACTCCTCCACCCACTCCTCCACCCCACTCCTCCACCCCACTCCACCACCCCCCACCTCCACCCCACTCCTCCACCCACTCCTCCACCCCACTCCACTATTTCACTCCTCCACCCACTCCTCCACCCCACTCCTCCACCCACTCCTCCACCCACTCCTCCACCCCACTCCACCACCCCACACCTCCACCCACTCCTCACCCACTCCTCCACCCCACTCCACTATCTCACTCCTCCACCCACTCCCCCCACTCCTCCACCCACTCCCCACACTCCTCCACCCACTCCTCCACCCCACTCCACCACCTCCACCCCACTCCTCCACCCACTCCTCCCCCCACTCCACTATCTCACTCCTCCACCCACTCCTCCACCCCACTCCTCCACCCACTCCTCCACCCCCCTCCTCCCCCACTCCACCACCCCCACCTCCACCCCCCTCCTCCACCACCCCCACCTCCACCCCACTCCTCCACCCACTCCTCCACCCACTCCTCCTCCACCCACTCCTCCACCCCACTCCTCCACCCCACTCCTCCACCCCACTCCTACCACCCACTCCTCCACCCACTCCTCCACCCAGCTCTCCACCCCCCTCCTCCACCCCACTCCACCACCCCCCACCTCCACCCCACTCCTCCACCCCACTCCTCCACCCACTCCTCCACCCACTCCACCACCCAATCCTCCACCCCACTCCTGCACCCACTCCTCCACCCACTCCTCCACCCACTCCCCACACTCCTCCACCCACTCCCCACCCACTCCTCCACCCACTCCCCACACTCCTCCACCCACTCCCCACACTCCTCCACCCACTCCCCACACTCCTCCACCCCACTCATCCACCCCACTCCTCCACCACTCCTCCACCCACTCCACCACCCAATCCTCCACCCCACTCCTGCACCCCCCTCCTCCACCCCACTCCTCCACCCACTCCTCCACCTCACTCCTCCACCCCACTCCTCCACCCCACTCCACCCCACTCCTCCACCTCACTCCACCCCACCAGCCCACCTCCACCCCCTCCTCCACCCACTCCGCACCCCCCTCCTCCACCCCACTCCACCACCCCACTGCCTCCATCCACTCCTCCACCCCACTCCTCCACCCACTCCCCACATTCCTCCACCCACTCCCCACACTCCTCCACCCACTATCCACACTCCTCCACCCACTCCTCCACCCACATCCTCCACCCACTCCTCCACCCCACTCCTCCACCCCACTCCACCACCCCCACCTCCACCCCACTCCTCCACCACCTGCTCCACCCCACTCCACTATCTCACTCCTCCACCCACTCCTCCACCCCACTACCTCCACCACTCCTCCACCCACTCCTCCAACCCACTCCACCACCCCCCCACCTCCAACCCCACTCCTCCACCCACTCCTCCACCCACTCCTCCACCCCACTCCACCACCCCCCCACCTCCACCCCCCCTCCACCCACTCTTCCACCCCACTCCACTATCTCACTCCTCCACCCACTCCTCCACCCCACTCCTCCACCCACTCCGTCCACCCCCCTCCTCCACCCCACTCCACCACCCCCACCTCCACCCCCCTCCTCCACCACCCCCACCTCCACCCCACTCCTCCACCCCACTCCTCCACCCCACCTCCTCCACCCCACTCCTCCATCCCAACCCTCCACCCCACTCCTCCACCCCACTCCTCCACCCACTCCTCCACCCCCCTCCTCCACCCCCCTCCACCTCACTCCTCCACCCCACTCCTCCACCCACTCCTCCACCCCCCTCTACCACCCACTCCTCCCACCCCGTCTCTCCACCCCACTCCTCCACCCACTCCTCCACCCCCGTCCTCCACCCCACTCCACCACCCCCACCTCCACCCACTCCTCCACCCCACTCCTCCACCCACATCCTCCACCCACTCCTACCACCCCACTCCTCCACCCACTCCTCCTCCCACCCCCCCACTCCTCCACCCCACTCCTCACCCACTCCTCCACACCCCTCCTCCACCCCACTCCTCCACCCCACTCCTCCACCCCACTCCTCCCCCCCTCCTCCACCCACTCCCCACATTCCTCCACCCACTCTCCACCCCCCTCCTCCACCCCACTCCCTCCACCCACTCCCCACACTCCTCCACCCACTCCTCCACCCCCCTCCTCCACCCCACTCCTCCACCCCACTCCTCCACCCCACTCCTCCACCCACTCCTCCACCCACTCCTCCACCACACTCCTCCACCCACTCCTCCACCCACTCCCCACCCTCCTCCACCCACTCCCCACACTCCTCCACCCCCCCTCCTCCACCCCACTCCTCCACCCCACTCCTCCACCCCACTCCTCCACCCACTCCCCCCACTCCTCCACCCACTCCTCCACCCCCCTCCTCCACCCCACTCCTCCACCCCACTCCTCCACCCCACTCCTCCAACCCACTCCTCCACCCCACGCCTCCACCCCACTCCTCCACCCCACTCCTCCACCCCACTCCTCCACCCACTCCTCCACCTCACTCCTCCACCCCACTCATCCACCCCACTCCTCCACCCACTCCTCACCCCTCCACCACCCATCCTCCACCCCACTCCTGCCCCCCCCTCCTCCACCCCACTCTCCTCCACCCACTCCCCACACTCCTCCACCCCACTCCTCCACCCCCTCCCCCCACTCCTCCACCCCACTCCACCCCACCACCCCCCTCCACCCCCTCCTCCACCCACTCCTCCCACCCCCTCCTCCACCCACTCCACCACCCCCCCCACCCCCACCCCCTCCTCCACCCCACTCCTCCACCCACTCCTCCACCCCCACTCCTCCCCCACTCCTCCACCCCATTCCTCCACCCACTCCCCACACTCCTCCACCCCACTCCTCCCACCCTCCTCCACCCACTCCCCACTCTCCTCCACCCACTCCCCCCACTCTCCACCCCACTCCACCACCCCCCACCTCCCCCCTCCTCCACCCACTCCTCCCCCCACTCTCACTATCTCACTCCTCCACCCACTCCCCCCACTCTCCTCCACCCCTCCTCCACCACCCCCACCTCACCACCCCACCTCCACCCCACTCCTCCACCCACTCCTCACCCACTCCTCCCACCCACTCCACCACCCCCACCTCCACCCCACTCCTCACCCACTCCTCCCACCCCACTCCACTATCTCACTCCTCCACCCCACTCCTCCACCCCACTCCTCCACCCACTCCTCCACCCCCTCCTCCACCCCACTCCACCACCCCCACCTCCACCCCCCTCCTCCACCACCCCCCCCACCTCCACCCCACTCCTCCACCCCACTCCTCCACCCCACTCCTCCACCCCACTCCTCCATCCCACCCCTCCACCCCACCTCCTCCACCCCACTCCTCCACCCACTCCTCCACCCCCCTCCTCCACCCCCTCCACCTCACTCCTCCACCCCACTCCTCCACCCACTCCTCCACCCCCCTCTACCACCACAACTCCTCCACCCACTCCTCCACCCCACTCCTCCACCCACTCCTCCACCCCCGTCCTCCACCCCACTCCACCACCCCCACCTCCACCCCACTCCTCCACCCACTCCTCCACCCACTCCTCCACCCACTCCTCCACCCCACTCCTCCACCAACTCCTCCACCCCCCTCCTCCACCCCACTCCACCACCCAATCCTCCACCCCAACTCCTGCACCCACTCCTCCACCCACTCCTCCACCCACCTCCTCCACCCCACTCCTCCACCCCACTCCTCCACCCACTCCTCCACCCACTCCTCCACCCACTCCTCCACCCCACTCCTCCACCCCACTCATCCACCCCACTCCTCCACCCCACTCCTCCACCCACTCCTCCACCCACTCCACCACCCAATCCTCCACCCCACTCCTGCACCCCACTCCTCCACCCACTCCTCCACCCACTCCTCCACCCCACTCCTCCACACATTCCTCCACCCACTCCTCCACCCCCCTCCTCCACCCCACTCCTCCACCCCACTCCTCCACCCCACTCATCCACCCCACTCCTCCACCCACTCCTCCACCCACTCCACCACCCAATCCTCCACCCACCACTCCTCCACACATTCCTCACCCACTCCTGCACCCCACTCCTCCACCCACATCCTCCACCCACTCCTCCACCCCCACTCCTCCACACATTCCTCCACCCACTCCTCCACCCCCCTCCTCCACCCCACTCCTCCACCCCACTCCTCCACCCCACTCATCCACCCCACTCCTCCACCCCACTCCTCCACCCCACTCCTCCCACCCACTCCTCCACCCCCCCTCCTCCACCCACTCCTCCACACATTCCTCCACCCACTCCCCCCACTCCTCCACCCACTCCTCCACCCACTCCTCCACCCACTCCTCCACCCACTCCACCACCCAATCCTCCACCCCACTCCTCCACCCCCCTCCTCCACCCCACCTCCTCCACCCACTCCTCCACAATTCCTCCACCCCACTCCTCCACCCCCCTCCTCCACCCCCTCCTCCACCCCACTCCTCCACCCACTCCTCCACCCACTCCTCCACCCCACTCCTCTACCCCATCTCCTCCACCCCCACTCCTCCACCCACTCCTCCACCCCACTCCTCCACCCCTCCTCCACCCACTCCTCCAAGCCCCACTCCTCCACCCCACTCCTCCACCCCACGCCTCCACCCCCTCCTCCACCACTCCCACATCCTCCACCCCACTCCTCCACCAGTCCTCCACCCACTCCTCCACCCCACTCCTCCACCCCACTCCTCCACCCCACTTCCTCCACCCACTCCTCCACCCACTCCCCCCACTCCTCCACCCACTCCCCCCACTCCTCCACCCACTCCTCCACCCCACGCCTCCACCCTTCCTCCACCCACTCCTCCCCCTCCTCCACCCCACTCCTCCACCCACTTCCTCCACCCACTCCTCCACCCACTCCCCACACTCCTCCACCCACTCCTCCCCACTCCTCACCCCACTCCTCCACCCACTCCTCCACCCACTCCTCCACCCCACTCCTCCACCCACTCCTCCACCACTCTCCAACCCATCCTCCACCCATTCCTCCACCCACTCCTCCACCCACTCCTCCACCCCACTCCTCCACCCCACTCTCCACCTCCTCACCCCACTCCTCCACCCATTCCTCCACCCACTCCTCCACCACTCCTCCTCCTCCACCCCACTCCTCCACCCACTCCTCCACCCACTCCCCACACTCCTCCACCCACTCCCCACACTCCTCCACCCACTCCTCCACCCACTCCTCCACCCCACTCCTCCCTCCACTCCTCCACCCCACTTCCTCCACCCCCCCTCCACCCACTCCTCCACCCACTCCTCCACCCCACTCCTCCACCCACTCCTCCACCCACTCCTCCACCCCTCCTCCACCCACTCCTCCACCCCACTCCTCCACTCCACTCCTCCACCCACTCCTCCACCCATTCCTCCACCCATTCCTCCACCCCACTCCTCCACCCACTCCTCCACCCCACTCCTCCACCCATTCCTCCACCCATTCCTCCACCCACTCCTCCACCCCACTCCTCCACCCACTCCCCACACTCCTCCACCCACTCCTCCACCCACTCCTCCACCCACTCCTCCACCCCACTCCTCCACCCCACTCCTCCACCCATTCCTCCACCCACTCCTCCACCCATTCCTCCACCCATTCCTCCACCCCACTCCTCCACCCCACTCCTCCACCCACTCCTCCACCCCACTCCTCCACCCATTCCTCCACCCATTCCTCCACCCCACTCCTCCACTCCACTCCTCCACCCCACTCCTCCACCCCCCTCCACCATAGTCGTCGTTGCTGCTGCTGCTTCTTCGCTCCGCAGGTTCGTCGACGTGCTGGAGCCCGAGGCGGTGGTGTCGCGCCTCCTCTCCGCGATCCTCGCCGGAGAAACCCTCGTGCTCATCCCTTCCTCCATGCATTTCAATATTCTCTTAAAGAGGTGAGGGGGTTGGGGGGGGTCGAGGGTGTTGGGGAGGTGGTGCTGAGCAGGCGCTTGAGGGGGGTGGTGAGAGAGCGAGCGAGTGAGCGAGCGGAGTTTGTATGTTCTCCCGCGGTTCTGCATGGGTCTCCTCTGGGTTTGTGGTTTCCTCCCATAACTAAAACAAACACACACGCACGCACTGCAACTGGTTTTGGCTAAAACATCGCAATGCTGAAACATTTCCAGCAAGCAGTCCTTGACTTATGAACACCCGGCTTACGAACACCGTACTTACGAAACAGCTTCCATGACATAAACAAAAAAACATCAACTTTAAACGCGTTTAAACACAGTGCATTGTTGTGTTCCGACTTACGACCCGTTCGACGTGCGAACGGGTCTCAAGAATGAATTCGGTTGGTAACCCGAGGACCCCCGTACCTGATTCGGGTTTCAGACTCAGCAGCAGCAGCATCGCCCCCTACTGCAGCAGCGTGGCAGTGCCCTCCTGAAAAAGTCCCGAGACTCGGCTGAAGCCTTTCGTGCGTAAACAAGTGTGAGGGTGATCATGATTATTATATTACTAATCGTAATTAACCAGGTGGGAACACGAGAGATCTGGATCGGAGTCTCATTCACACGAGCAGCGCGCGTCACCACAATCACAACGACAGATTAACACGCAGTAGAACTTGTACTTTATAACTTGTACAATATAACTTGCACTCACACTATAACTTGTACTCGCGTTATGGTGCAAAAGAACGCCACAACAACCGGCAACTCCACCTTAGACCACAATGACACCCATCACAACAAACAACAGCAGCTAGAGCCACGGGTACTACCACAAGACTGGCGATAACAAAAAAATAACCACAACATTGGCAACAACAACAACCACAACACCGGAATCAACAACAAACATTACAATGGGAACAACTACAACAACTACAACGATGTGAACAACAATAACCACAACACCGGGAATAACAACAACACAAATAGCACCACCCACGGCACGACGATAAGCACAGCAACCACTACGACATCGCAGCCACAATACAACCAGCCACAACACAGCTAGCCAAAGTGCCTCCAGCCACAACACAGACTCACACAGCACATCTAGCCAAAGTGCCTCCCGCCACAACACAGACTCACACAACACATCTAGCCAAAGTGCTTCCAGCCACAACACAGACTCACACAACACATCTAGCCAAAGTGCCTCCAGCCACAACACAGACTCACACAGCACATCTAGCCAAAGTGCCTCCAGCCACAACACAGACTCACACAACACATCTAGCCAAAGTGCCTCCAGCCACAACACAGACTCACACAGCACATCTCGCCAAAGTGCCTCCAGCCACAACACAGACTCACACAGCACATCTCGCCAAAGTGCCCCCAGCCACAACACAGACTCACACAACACATCTAGCCAAAGTGCCTCCAGCCACAACACAGACTCACACAGCACATCTAGCCAGAGTGCCTCCAGCCACAACACATACTCACACAGCACATCTAGCCAAAGTGCCTCCAGCCACAACACAGACTCACACAGCACATCTAGCCAAAGTGCCTCCAGCCACAACACAGACTCACACAGCACATCTAGCCAAAGTGCCTCCAGCCACAACACAGACTCACACAACACATCTAGCCAAGGTGCCTCCAGCCACAACACAGACTCACACAGCACATCTAGCCAAAGTGCCTCCAGCCACAACACAAACTCACACAGCACATCTAGCCAAAGTGCCTCCAGCCACAACACAGACTCACACAGCACATTTAGCCAAAGTGCCTCCAGCCACAACACAGACTCACACAACACATCTCGCCAAAGTGCCTCCATCCACAGCACAGACTCACACAACACATCTAGCCAAAGTGCCTCCAGCCACAACACAGACTCACACAACACATCTAGCCAAAGTGCCTCCCGCCACAACACAGACTCACACAACACAGCTAGCCAGAGTGCCTCCAGCCACAACACAGACTCACACAACACATCTAGCCAAAGTGCCTCTAGCCACAACACAGACTCACACAACACATCTAGCCAGAGTGCCTCCAGCCACAACACAGACTCACACAACACATCTAGCCAAGGTACCTCCAGCCACAACACAGACTCACACAACACATCTAGCCAAAGTGCCTCCAGCCACAACACAGACTCACACAACACATCTAGCCAAGGTGCCTCCAGTCACAACACAGACTCACACAGCACATCTAGCCAAAGTGCCTCCAGCCACAACACAGACTCACACAGCACATCTAGCCAAAGTGCCTCCCGCCACAACACAGACTCACACAACACATCTCGCCAAAGTGCCTCCAGCCACAACACAGACTCACACAGCACATCTAGCCAAAGTGCCTCCAGCCACAACACAGACTCACACAGCACATCTAGCCAAAGTGCCTCCCGCCACAACACAGACTCACACAACACATCTCGCCAAAGTGCCTCCAGCCACAACACAAGACTCACACAACACATCTAGCCAAAGTGCCTCCAGCCACAACACAGACACACAACACATCTAGCCAAAGTGCTTTCAGCCACAACACAGACTCACACAACACATCTAGCCAAAGTGCCCCCAGCCACAACACAGACTCACACAGCACATCTAGCCAAAGTGCCTCCAGCCACAACACAGACTCACACAGCACATCTAGCCAAAGTGCCCCCAGCCACAACACAGACACACAACACATCTAGCCAAAGTGCCTCCCGCCACAACGCAGACTCATACAACACATCTAGCCAAAGTGCCTCACGCCACAACACAGACTCACACAACACATCTAGCCAAAGTGCCTCCAGCCACAACACAGACTCACACAACACATCTAGCCAAGGTGCCTCCAGCCACAACACAGACTCACACAGCACATCTAGCCAAAGTGCCTCCCGCCACAACACAGACTCACACAACACATCTCGCCAAAGTGCCTCCAGCCACAACACAGACTCACACAGCACATCTAGCCAAAGTGCCTCCAGCCACAACACAGACTCACACAGCACATCTAGCCAAAGTGCCTCCCGCCACAACACAGACTCACACAACACATCTCGCCAAAGTGCCTCCCGCCACAACACAGACTCACACAGCACATCTAGCCAAAGTGCCTCCCGCCACAACACAGACTCACACAACACAGCTAGCCCCCATCGCACCCGGCCACAATACAGACTCACACAGCATAACAGCCACAACACAGACTCACACAAGACAGCTAGCCCCCATCGCACCCGGCCACAACACAGACTCACACAGCACAACCACCACAACACACACTGCCACAACACAGACTCACACAGCCCAACCACCACAACACAGACTGCCACAACACAGACTCACACAGCACAACCACCACAACACAGACTCACACAGCACAACCACCACACAGACAGCCACAACACACCTAGTCACAGCGCAACCGGCCACAACAGAGCGATGGGCGTGTGGGCCCCTAGGTTATGATGCTTGCGGGTGATTGAGTGATGGGGCATGTGGTGACGGGGGGGGGGGTGTAGTGATGGGGGTGTGTAGGTGTGTGGGCGATGGAGCAACGGGACGTGCTGATGATGGGGCGTGTGTGTGATGGAGCGTATCGGTGATGGTGTGATGGGGCTTGAAGGAGATGGGGCGTGTGAGTGATGGGGTGTGTGAGCGATGGGGCGTGTGAGTGATGGGGCGTGTGAGTGATGGGGCGTGTGGCTGATGGGACGTGTGGCCCCGCGTCTCCCAGCCTGCTCCCCACCCGCGCCCTACAAGCGATCTACGCCACGATGGCGATCAGCTTCAAAACCCGCGCCGGCCTCGCGGGGACGAAGACGAGCGGCGAGGAGGCGCAGGAGCCCGGAGCGGAGCGCGGAGCCAAGGTGCGCCTCTGAGAGCCTCCCAACATCCAGCCCTGGAGGGCCGGGGCTGGATGTTGTGGCAACGTGTCTGCTCGGATCTCTCGACACACGCGGAGACGCCCTGAAAAAGAGGGGAATGCTGATCCCGCAGTCGCCAAATAAAAAAAACCTGACGAACACGTCGCTTCTGTTCCGTCTGTGATGATTCGCTGCACGAGAGCACCCGGTTTCATCCCGAGTGGCTGAGACCAAGGTTCAAGGCCAGGGTCTCAGCAGTACCACCTGATTGTCCTGATCCCCCCCCCCCCCAATCCACCCGGCCGCGGCGAGCTCTGGCTCAACGTTGAACGCAGATCGCTTTCGTCGGCTCGTCGGCTCGTCCGTTCTTCGGCCAAAACCGCGACGACGTCTCCATCATCAGTGGCACGGCGAATCGCCGCGCAGGGCGACGGTCGTCACGCGTCACGTCGGGACGCACTCCGCCTGCCCGCTGGGACCTGCTGCAGCTGGCGCAACCGTCCGTTCGCGCATGCGTCAGTCCGTGTGTGTGTCTATCCATGCGTGTGTCCGTGCGTGTGTCCGTGCGTCCGTCTCCAGATCAGAATGCCAACCCCCACACGGGAGCTGCACGGCCCTCCACCAGAAGGGCCCTGAGACTCACTGAGGCTTTCCTGCATTAACGACTCTTGCTCCTATTAGAATGATTTGCGATGGTGACATTGACCAGGGGTCTGTGGTCTGATTCCTGTAGGCCGCACGGGTTGAACCTGTGGGGTGTATTCACCGCAAACGATGCGCAGTCCGCTTCGAATTGCATGCGACGTCGGTCAAAGAATGGAACTAGAACGGCGGTGTGCAGGCATCGCGGTCAGTGCCGGATGAAGCTCGTGCGGGGCCTGTAGCATGATGTTATAAAGGGGCCCTAAGTAAAAAAAAAACACGTAAATATTAAAACACAAATGTTTACTTGCATAGTAAAGTAATTTAATTGTTTTATTTGCTATACAGCCATAAAATATGACAAATCGCTAACCTTAAACACCCAGTCGCTCATAAAAGTTGAAGGCAGTGTAGTACTATAGAAATACAGCAAGTGCAGAACCACTGAACCGGAATTGATAGCTTGAAAGCATTTAGCGCGGATCCCTTGAAAGTGCGGGGCCCGTAGCAACTACACATGCAGCTACTACACATGCAGCTACTACACATGCAGCTACTACTACACCTGTAGCTACTACACATGCAGCTACTACACGTGCAGCTACTACACGTGCAGCTACTACTACACCTGTAGCTACTACACATGCAGCTACTACACGTGCAGCTACTACACGTGCAGCTACTACACACATATAGCTACTCCACATGCAGCTACTACACATGCAGCTACTACATATGCAGCTACTACACATGCAGCTACTACACCTGTAGCTACTACACACATGTAGCTACTCCACATGCAGCTACTACACGTGCAGCTACTCCACATGCAGCTACTACACATGCAGCTACTACATATGCAGCTACTACACATGCAGCTACTACACCTGTAGCTACTACACGTGTAGCTACTACACGTGCAGCTACTACACGTGCAGCTACTACACATTCAGCTACTACATATGCAGCTACTACACATGCAGCTACTACACCTGTAGCTACTACACACATGTAGCTACTCCACATGCAGCTACTACACATGCAGCTACTACATATGCAGCTACTACACATGCAGCTACTACACCTGTAGCTACTACACGTGTAGCTACTACACGTGCAGCTACTACACGTGCAGCTACTACAAATGTAGCTACTGCACATGCAGCTACTACATATGCAGCTACTACACATGCAGCTACTACACATGCAGCTACTACACGTGCAGCTACTACACATGCAGCTACTACACCTGTAGCTACTACACCTGTAGCTACTACGCGTGTAGCTACTACACATGCAGCTACTACACATGCAGCTACTGCATGTGTAGCGACTTTTGCTACCAGGATAATCCGGCACTGATCACGGTCCGAATCCACCAAGAGAGAGGCAGCCCGGCTGATGGACTCGTGCATTGGGAAACAGGGCGATCGTCGCCCACGTGGTGCGAGCACGTGGGCAGCGCCCTGTGGGTCAGGGGTCGGCAGCCTGCGGCTCCGAAGCCCCACGCCGGCTCTTTGGCTGCCCCCTTTGCGGGCAGCCGCTTTACAAATTACAAAAACAACGTAATTCTTAAACGCAATGTTACGTCAAGATAAGTGATTAAATATGGCAGGGAATGGGCAGCTATTGAATGTCTTGGTGATGACCAAATGTACAAACAGGCAAACTGTATTGTTCAAGGTTAGCGAAGGGGGACAAACACTAAACTAACGCAGCTAATGAGAATAGGGTTCCCCCTTTTATCTGGCAACAAAACAGCTGTGTTAAGTTGTTAAAACACCAGACTGAAACCTATTACGAGGAATCATGTCTGCATTAACTACAATAAATGTGGTCAGAATGCAAACAAAAAAAAACACACTGATAATATACAGTGAGGGGAAAAAGTATTTGATCCGCTGCTGATTTTGTACGTTTGCCCACTAACAAAGAAATGATCAGTCTATAATTGTAATGGTAGGTTTATTTGAACAGTGAGAGACAGAATAACAAAATCCAGAAAAACGCATGTCAAAAATTGTATAAATTGATTTGCATTTTAATGAGGGAAATAAGTATTTGAACCCCTCTCAATCAGAACGATTTCTGGCTCCCAGGTGTCTTTCATACAGGTAACGAGCTGAGATTAGGAGCACACTCTTAAAGAGAGTACTCCTAATCTCAGCTTGTTACCTGTATAAAAGACACCTGTTCACAGAAGCAATTAATCAATCAGATTCCAAACTCTCCACCATGGCCAAGATCAAAGAGCTCTCCAAGGATGTCAGGGACACGATTGTAGACCTACACAAGGCTGGAATGGGCTACAAGACCATCGCCAAGCAGCTTGGTGAGAAGGTGACAACAATCGGTGCAATTATTCGCAAATGGAAGAAAAACAAAAGAACTGTCAATCTCCCTCGGCCTGGGGCTCCATGCAAGATCTCACCTCGTGGAGTTGCAATGATCATGAGAACGGTGAGGAATCAGCCCAGAACTACACGGGAGGATCTTGTCAATGATCTCAAGGCAGCTGGGACCATAGTCACCAAGAAAACAGTTGGTAACACACTACGCCGTGAAGGACTGAAATCTTGCAGTGCCCGCAATGTCCCCCTGCTCAAGAAAGCACATATACATGCCCGTCTGAAGTTTGCCAATGAACATCTGAATGATTCAGAGGACAACTGGGTGAAAGTGTTGTGGTCAGATGAGACCAAAATGGAGCTCTTTGGCATCAACTCAACTCGCCGTGATAGGAGGAGGAGGAATGCTGCCTATGACCCCAAGAACACCATCCCCACCGTTAAACATGGAGGTGGAAACATTATGCTTTGGGGGTGTTTTTCTGCTAAGGGGACAGGACAACTTCACCGCACCAAAGGGATGATGGACGGGGCCATGTACCGTGAAATCTTGGGTGAGAACCTCCTTCCCTCAGCCAGGGCATTGAAAATGGGTCGTGGATGGGTATTCCAGCATGACAATAACCCAAAACACACAGCCAAGGCAACAAAGGAGTGGCTCAAGAAGAAGCACATTAAGGTCCTGGAGTGGCCTAGCCAGTCTCCAGACCTAAATTCCATAGAAAACCTGTGGAGGGAGCTGAATGTTCGAGTTGCCAAACGTCAGCCTCAAAACCTTAATGACTTGGAGAAGATCTGCAAAGAGGAGTGGGACAAAATCTCTCCTGAGATGTGAGCAAACCTGGTGGCCAATTACAAGAAACGTCTGACCTCTGTGATTGCCAACAAGGGTTGTGCCACCAAGTACGAAGTCATGTTTTGCAGAGGGGTCAAATACTTATTTCCCTCACTAAAATGCAAATCAATTTATAACATTTTTGACATGCGTTTTTCTGGATTTTGTTGCTGTTATTCTGTCTCTCACTGTTCAAATAAAACTACCATTAAATCATAGACTGATCATTTCTTTGTCAGTGGGCAAACTCACTGTATGCATTGTCTTTGAAACTGATTGGTCCACATCAGAGACAGCTTTTCTTAGAGCCTCGTCTCCAAAAGGTGTTCGACCAGAGGACGCCAAAAGGCGAACAGCACAAAGACAACGCACTATCAGAGCAACGAGAGCTCGGGGTGAGCAGCTACTTCACGGGACCTCCTTTGCCAGTACCAAAATATGAGAATAAGTTTTTTCCCCTTTTATCTGGCAACAAAACAGTCGTGTTAAATTGTTAAAACACCAACTGAAACTTTTTTACAAGGAATCGTGTCTGCAGTTTACTCCATCACCTATTTCGTTTTTTTTACGTGAGAATGTGTGTTATCATCTGCTGTATACTTGCTGCTGCTGTGTTTGTGTACACACAGCTTTGCGTGTGGTGCGGCTCTCGACCTATTGTGGTCAAAGGCAACCACTTTAAAAACACGTCTCTCATTACTGTTTGAAACGTTGCCGACCCTTGGGCCCGAGAGAAAAATAAGAGTTGGGAATCCGCAAAGGCTTTCCGGAGTAAACGAGCGTAATAATCGACAATGTTAACCTCTCATGAAACAAAAGATGTTATCATAACGCACACGCATACACAGGGAGACATCAACAAAAACATCCCCCCCCCCATAGTCTACAAAGACAAAGCTCATGCAAAGACAAAGATCCCA